TGGACATCGAGATCGCCACCTACAGGCGCCTGCTGGAAGGCGAGGAGCAGAGGTGAGCCAGCCAGACCCTGTATTCGCTCCTCTGCATAAGCCAGCCCACTTTCAACTCCCTTTGGTCTCTGTGGCACTCCACAAATGGTCCCAGGCTCTTCTCCTGGCTAATTGGCTCCCAGGTCTCATCTAACAGACCTGGCACTGGGAAATATCTCCTTCTCGTGCAAGGCTGATGGCACTGTGTTGTCCAGAGCCCCAGTGAATCCAGGATCCTTCTGGGTTAGAACCTAAGTATCTTGCCACTCAGTTCAGAACATCCCTAAATTCTTCAAACAGCCATACCCTTGCATCTAGGCAGTCTGTAGCCTATGGTAGTTACTGTTCAAACTGCACCGTTGGCCTTCCATGTCAAAGAGGACTTTCCTTCCTCAAAGCTGACCATTCCAGGACTTCTAGATATGGTTGTTAAATATGTACATTGCAGAGGCAGCCAGATGAGAGCAAATGAGATTCCACCCTCTCTTTTCTGTCCAAAAGACACATTTTTCTAAGCTGCACTGAGGCATGAATGTAGATCAGAAGCAGCCCTTGGATGAGACATTCTGGTGCCCACGGGAAACTTGATGTTCTCGCTCTGATTTCATTCCTCCTCTCCTCTCCATCTTTTCCCACCCAGGCTGTGTGAAGGCTTTGGAGCTATAAATGTCTGTAAGTATCTTAAATCCTGAAAAGGGAAATTGTGGGTTTAGCAACAACAGGCTTCGCTGCCTGTGGCTGTACAAGGTCTGCGGGGAGTGTTCCCAGCAATGCCCCAGTAAGGGACACAACTGCTCATGCAGCAGGAAAGACTGAAATTAGCTTGCAGGAAGAACCTCACCGCATGAATGAGATGGAGAGAGAAAGATGCCACTTCAGGAAGGGACCTCAGATTTCACTCAGTATAATCCCCATCTTGGAGAAGTGAGGAAGCTGAGCCCAGAGAGAGGGAGGGATGTGCCCCCAGCTGCACAGCAGAGCCAGGACCAGTCCAGGGCTGCTCAGGCTGTCTCCCTCCACAGCCTCAGCCTTCAGAACTGAAGGCTCACTGTGGCCATCTGGGGGCTGCACACATCACATGAGGCAGAGGAAGGAGGCTGGCTGGCTGGGGTGGCCATCCATCAGGGCTCCTGACCTTGTCTGTGTTCTTGCAGGTGTCAGCAGCTCCCGAGGTGGGGTTGTGTGTGGGGACCTCTGTGTGTCTGGCTCCAGGCCCGTGACGGGCAGTGTCTGCAGCGCGCCCTGCACTGGGAATGTGGCAGTGAGCACCGGCCTGTGCGCGCCCTGTGGAGGAGGTTCCATCTGTCAGGGGAGGTTCTAAGTGGCCAGAGAAGAGAGCCAAGGAAGCTCCTCCCATCTGCCCAATGTGCCACCGCCCCCGTCCCAGCTGAGGCCAGCGGTGCTTGGTGGCTTTCCCCTTGTGTTCTGAGAATACACCACTGGGCCCTTCCCAACAGCCACTGCTCTGCTGAAAAGGACCAGCTGCCAGAATGGAGCTGTCCCTCCACAGCTGCAGGGCGTTCTCTTCCCAAGGGGGGTGGGGGGCTTCCCTCTGTGCCTCTCTGGCCTCTGGTTGTCCATTTCCCAATAAACTTGGGAACCTGCTATGTGTGCTATGCTGTCTTCTTTTCCTGGAGCAAGCCCATGCCCGTCAAGTGGTAAACAACCAGCCTGTCACTCTGACCTGAGGACTGGATCATTCTAGCCAGTCCTCATCGTAGACGCCTGCAGGCTGTCCCCAAATACAGCCGTTCTTCCCTTGCCAGGCAGTGCTGCCTGTGCACCCAGCATGCCCCTCCTAAGTCATACACCAGCCTGGGCTGCTTTGTAGCTTTGTTCCTCCATCTGGCTCTGAAGGAAGCCAGAGGCCATAAGATCTGCTGGGAAGCAGTGTGTGCATCTGTCTGTCTGTCTGTCTGTGTTTATGCACATATGTATTTGACTCCAGCCCCTTCCCCCCCCCCACACACACACCA